CCGTCTTGGCTCCTCATCGACTCCTCCTCTCTCTGCTTCAAGGACTCCAGGAGTTTTTTGTGCTGTTCTCTGCATTACCATGCGATCTGGGTTTATGAATACAGGTACAGTATATCCCAAAATGTATCTCTCCTTGCTAAGTTTTCTGCATGCTGAATAACTTCCCATTTTTTATCCTCACTCACTAGTGTGATCCTGAGGGGTTGAGACTTGTCCTCCTGCCTTTGCCCTAGCCTCCTCACATGCTGAGTGGGAGATGATAACTTCAGAGCCTCGTCACAAATATTCTGAAATTTCAACTTGAGTGTTTTCCTCATTTCAGCTTCCTCGGACTGGCTCTTAGGGACTCCAAACACTATTATGTTGTTCCTGAGCTCGATAGGTGTGTATGTTGACAATGAGCTGAAGTTCTCGGGCCATTGCGAGAAGAAGGTAAATCAGGCAAATAAATTATTAGGTCTATAAAAAGGTCGTTCAGATATCTAGACGGTCCGTCCCTGTAATGATCTTCAAGAGTGAAGTGCTTCCCCATGTGGAGTACTGTCACCCTGTCTGGTCCCCAAGATATACTAGGGACTGTCAGTTGATTGAAAATGTTCAAAGGAGGGCCACCAGACTGGTGCCTGCACTTCGGCACCTCAGCTACCCTTAGAGATTAGAGCGCCTGAAATTGCCTAGCTACTCATTCGAGTGCCCTTACCTTGAGCTGGGAGGATGCTCGCCCCACAAAGGGTCACAGTTCAAGGTTGAAGAAGCCGCAAGTCCAGAAAACTGTGAGGGTGAACTTTTTTGGAGTGAGAGTTGTGAACTCTTGGAACAATCTGCCAGACAGTGTTGTGACAGCATTGAGTGTGAGCTCTTTCAATACCAGAATGGATAAGCACTGGAGCAGGTTTAGATACATTCAGGAGACAGTGCAAGCCCAGTACTTGCCAACAGTGGTAACAGAGACGCAACCGATCGCCCAAGCGGCTAATGAGCCGATCAGTGGTGAAGAGGATAAAAGTGAAAGTAAAATGGACAATGACCTACTTGAGAAAAAACTAACGAACAATTTGTGAAAATGAAAATATTAAAATTCAAGGGTATCAAAATCTACTGCTGTGGCTGCCCTATTTGCTTACAAATCTGTCAATCACTTGATTGACAATAATTATTTCCAGTTCTGGAATAATTTAGAGATACACCCAGAGCTATTAAGAGCACCACCCTGTAAGGTTATGAGATATTGGTTCACACTCAGGATGGGATGGAGAAAGGAAACTCACAATGTGTTCACTGTATACATGTTGTATTGGATGTACAATGCAGCTTGTTGCTGGGTAGGTAGCATGGTAATAAGCGTTGAGTCGAGAGAGCTGGGTGGTGAGGGTGCCCAGAGTGAGGGCACGTGGCTTGAGGGATGCCTAAGTCGCCGGCGGGAGCAGCAGCCGCACTGCTGGTGCGGAGGAGGAGGAGGTGTTGCTTGCTGGTGGCACTGTGTAGAAAGAGAGGCTGGCCACAGCGGTGTCAGGCCTTATAAGGCGGGGGTAGGCGTGGGTAGATAGTTGACCAATGCTCCGTGGGCGGCGCTGGAGGCGTAGGCTGGGGAATTCGAGAAGGTTCGGTGCTTGTAGGGGACAAATCCATTACAATACTCCCCTTCCCCTCCGGGCACTTCGGGAGGCTGGAGGTTGGCAGAGTTGCGTGCCACATGTGAGGCAGAACAGGTGGTGCTTGCCACATGTGGGACATAACGGCGAGGGCTTGGATGAGCCTGCCGCTAGGGGGGGGCAACTCTGTCCAGATACACTAGATCTGTGGGAGAAAAGAGGGGGAAGGAGGGTTGTGGAGGCGATGAATGTTGTGCTTCCCTCGCGACAGGTACAGAGTCCTCAGATGCGCCTGCTGGGGTGTGTGGGCCTGGGTCAGGAGCAGGGGCTGCATCAGCAGGAAGAGGGTCCATGACAGCAGCAGGGTGCATGACAGCAGGAGGGTCCACGACAGCAGCAGGGTGCAGGACAGTAGCAGGGGTTACCTGAGGAAGATAAGAGGGGTGTGTGGGTTCGCGTCAAGAGCAGGGACAGGGGGTACTGCTGGGCCGGGGGCGGCGTTTGAGGCAGGACGGGTGTATTGGGGTCGGTAGGACGTGGTGTTTGGGGCAGGAAGAGGAGTGGCTGTCTGCTTAGAGTAGCATAGCTGCTCTAGGGGGTCTATCCTGCGGTGTAGAGACAGTAGTTGTAGAGCCGATGAGAGCTGCCTCTGCGTGGGTAAGCCAGTCTTCTATGTTGCTTGAAGACTGGGAGAGTGATCAGTTTCTCCTCCATCCTGTGTGAGTGCGAATCTCCGGGGGTCACCATTTGTGGGGGTATGAGATATTGGTTCACACTCAGGATGGGATGGAGAAAGGAAACTCACAATGTGCTCACTGTATACATATTGTATTGGATTTACAATGCAGCTTGTTGCTGGGTAGTTAGCATGGTAATAAGCGTTGAGTAGAGAGAGCTGGGTGGTGAGGGTGCCCAGAGTGAGGCGTAGGGTTTCATGATATAATGTTGTCTAGCACTCAGGATGGATGGAAACTCTAAGGTGGTTTTCTTATATAATATAAGTTATATGGTAGACAGTCTGGTGCTGGAGGTGCCGTGTGGTGAGGAGCTGCTCAGTAGACACGTTCGGTGAGTAGCGTGTTGAAGGAGGTAGATGTGCAGGAGCTTCGTAAGAGAAGATGTTGCCTGTTGCTGGCCTCCAGGTTGAATGAGAACGGGACAGCGAGGAGCTTGCTTGGAGGAGGTGTTGCGTGTTCAAGAACCGAGAGCAGAATGAGAGAGCTGGTTGGTGAGGACGCTCAGAGGAGGACAGCTGGTGGGTCGCCATGCTCGCCGGCGGGAGCGAGGACCGCCAGGCAGGCGGAGGAGAAGCGAGGGCCGCCAGGCAGCGGCGGAGGAGGAGGTGTTGCGTGTTGTAGAAGTGAGGCGAGAATGAATCTCAATGGAGAGACAGAGCTTATATACCCAGCAGCCGTGAGTCAGCCGTGAGTCATGGTGGGAAACCCCGGGAAGTAGCCGGTCTTTTGCCTCCGTTGCTAGGATACTGTGGCATCTGGTGACGCCCCTTCCTTGGGCCGCTAGTTTGGTTGCTAGGGAACACGTAGCAGGTGGCATGCAGCTACGCAGTTGTAGGGGAGACGTCCACTACAGAGGGCACGCAGCTTGAGGGACGCCAAGGTCGCTGGCGGGAGCGGCAGCCGCAAGGCTAGCGCAGAGAAGGAGGTGTTCCTTGCTGGTGGCACTGTGTAGAAAGAGAGGCTGGTCACAGTGGTGTCAGGCCTTATAAGGCGGGGGTAGGCGTGGGTAGATAGTTGACCCCCGCTCCGTGGGCGGCGCTGGAGGCGTAGGCTGGGGAATTCGAGAAGGTTCAGTGCTTCTAGGGGAGGAATCCACTACAACCCTCCATGCGCTCCTCTTAGTCCCAGACTTGACAATGGAATACTGTATATTCATTTATGGTTCATGAACCATATAGTATGTTCGTGACCTTGGTCTTACTGTGGTCATTTCCTTTTCTTTTTCTTTTATCCTCTTCGCCACTGATCGGCTCGTTAGCCGCTTGGGCGATCGGTCACGTCTCTGTTACGCACTGTTGGCAAGTACTGGGCATGCACCGGCTCCTGAATGTACCTGAACCTTTTCCAGTGTTGGTCAAGTCTGGTCCTGAAAGAGTGTAGTGGATTCCTCCCCTACAAAAGCCGTTTGTCGCTGACTAGCCGACCCTCGAATTCCCCAGTGTGTGCCTCGTGGTCTAGGTCAGCAACCAGCACTGCCTAACAATGACTGAGGTCAACTATTAAGCCACGCCTACCCCCGCTATATAAGACCTCACCTCGTGGTAACCTGTCCTTCTACCTACAGCCACCAGCCAGCAACACCTCCTCCTTCGCTCCTGCCTGGCGGCTCCCGCTCCAGCCGGCGACCATGGCGACCCACAAGCTGGTCCTCCTCTGAGCACCCTCACCAACCAGCTCTCTCTACTCAACGCTTGTAACCATGCTGCCTTCCCAGCACCAAGCTGCATTGTACATCCAATACAATATGCATACAGAGAGCACATTGTGTGTTTCCTTTCTCCATCCCATCCTGAGTGTGAACCTATATCTCGAAACCCCAGAAGAGCTCACATTGTGCTGATTAAGCGGTGCTTATAGAGCACTAAAATCCCCGCAATTTGATGCCATATTTTATTTTCATTGCTGGCGGTCAAGGTGCCCTTGCAACACGTACGTCCTTAAATAATTCAGATTTCTCTGCTAAAAAAATATTAACGCACATAACTCTTACTAATATGTCAAGGGTTCGAGCCTCGGCTTGGTCATACGTGAGAAGGTGCTTTTTTTCCGGGGAATATCCCACCACAGATTTCCCGTCCCCGGTTTCCTCCTGTACTAACACTGGATAAACCGCCAAAACGGCTAGTAAGCTGATAAGTGGCGAATATGATAAAACTTACGGCTTTGATGAAATTGCAAAATAAATTCACTAAGATGAGAAATTGTCAAAATCCTCCAATATCAGTAGAGTTGATATTTCACTTGTGTCATCCTGGTAAAGAAACTGGTCGGTTGTTATTTCTGTTATGTGCTATTGGCAAGTACTGGGCATGCATAGAATGTGCCTGAACATGCGCTAGTGTTGCGTGGCGTTACGAAAAAATTATTGGGTTTTACGTGCAGTATTACATCCCACTTGGAAGATTTTGGTGGAATTTCTGCCATGTGTTCTCTCAAAGTTGTAGTTATTTTTAACCAATGACAGAAATTCAATATTATGGTGCTTCACGTTGTTTACCGCTGAATATCAGAAAATGTAAATTAAAAACAGTCATAAAAATTAAAGTTCTGTATTAATGATTTTAGTGATTAGAATTTTCTTTAGAGAAGTTTATCCTGAAGGATGAGATGTAAACACGTTTTCTGTAAGATATGCCGCAGGATTGGCTGCCTGGCATCAGTGGCATAAGATAGTCCGACGGGTGAGCAAGCCGTAAACTTACTCTGATGGGAGTTTGTCTATGTATGTTGCTCCAAGTTGCTGAATGAAGTCGATTTATGTGCTATACCCGAATAACAAGTGTCTAGATTAAATTTAGTGATCGTTTGAAGTACTCCGAGGGTTTGTATGGAGGGCGTGAACTGTTGTTTAGAAGTTGGAGGGAGGTAAGTGTGTTGTGGTTACTGGAATCTCCCACGTCATTTGTAGTAGCGATCAGTGACTAGACAGCTTGCCTGGGTTGTCAAGGGAGGCATGCATTCATTTGAATAATAAATTCCATTTTATTCATCATGTTTTATCAGCAATATTGTCAAGAGGTTATGTATTCATTTATAGTTTTTCATTATTGTTAACTATAAGGAAGTGGATATTTGGGGAAACAGTGTTTATAATCGATTAATATTTTTATTGTTGTTTTAGAACAATATCATGTTAAGCTTACAATTCTTGTAACAGGAAGGGTTTAATTCTGCAATAATAGTAATAAGACTTGTTAAATCCCATGGGTTAATATTAACAACTAAACTGTGAACGAGTTGTGTGTTTTATTGTCTATTTTCATACTTTATTTTCATCAGTGAATTCCGATATGATAATCATTTCTTGTGCAAATGCTTCGTTTAGTAGATAATTAGGTATCTAGGTGCCCACTACTTTGTCTTCTTGGCAGTAATGCAGCTGTGACATCTCATCCCAGGATGTAAACAGCCACTCATATTGACATATTTCAAAACACTCTGCCTCCTGGGCTTGATCAATCCCGATGCCAAGTGTATGCTTAAAAACTGTTCGGTATGGACGGCTGCTCTCACATCCACAAAAATCGTAAAATTGCATCATATCATAGTACCCGTAAGTCCTTTCTGTTTAATATACCGGGGGGTCCGTCCCAAGCTAGGAAGTTAGGTAAGGTTAGGTAGGTTTGTGTGGTTAGGTTGCTGAGGTCTTCTAACAGTGCTTCTGATGCTTATTTTTCATAGCAACTAAGGTTAGGTTAGGTTGTGTTGTGTTTACTTCAGAACTTACCACTTTTTTGCACATTTGCACAAAACATTATAGTGTCCACTATAAAACACAGTGAAATTGCAACTCAGCCATGTTAATATTATGATTTTTACTTGACTCTGTATCTGTGTTCTTCTGGCTAAATAAACTTCTTTTCCTCCCCTCTTCCGTCCCAATAACTCTATAGCCAACTCTTCCCCTGACAAAGCCAACCTCCTTGGCACCTTATTCTCCTCTAATTCCACCTTAGACGATTCCCACTCTATCCCTCCTACCCCTGCACCTCCTACTGAACCTATGCCACTTTCCTATAATCTCCACTCTCAGGGTTGCCGGTGTGTTATCCAGGTTGGATGTGAGTAAGGCGCATGGACCGGACGGAATACCCCCTCGTGTTCTGAGGGAGTGTGCTGAAGCCCTGGCTCCAGTGCTTGCTCGCCTCTTTTGCCTTTGCCTCAAAACCAAAACTTTTCCTTCTTCTTGGAAGCATGCCTTGGTTCAGCCCATCCCGAAGAAGGGTGACCATTCTAATCCCTCTAACTATCGCCCCATTGCCCTAACTTCATCCCTCTCTAAGATTTTCGAAACTGTCTTGAACTCCCATTTTCTCCCGTCACCTTGAACGCCTTTCTCTTTTGTCGGATCACCAATATGGCTTTCGCCAGGCGAGATCTACTGGTGATCTGCTCTCCTATTGCACCCATCTTTGGTCATCCTCTCTTAGGGATTATGGGGAAACTTTTGTCGTGGCCCTCGACATTTCCAAAGCATTTGACAGGGTATGGCATAAGTCTCTGCTATCTAAACTTCCCTCTTTTGGTTTCTCTCCCCCACTTTGTTCTCTCATCTCTAGCTTCCTTGAGAATCGATCCATGGCAGTTGTTGTCGAGGGATCGATTTCTCACTCTTTCTCTACCAATAGTGGCGTCCCACAGGGTTCTGTTCTTTCACCAACTCTCTTCCTTCTTTTTATCAATTATTTACTTCACACTACAGTACAACTAATTCTATCCATTCTTATGCCGATGATTCTACTCTTCACTCTTCCTCACATTTTCCCCTTCCTCCTAACTCTCAAACTAGATCTGTTTCTAGAACTGATATCATTAGTACTTCTATCAACGCGGATCTGTGCAGCATCTCTGAATGGGGAAATACAAACTTGGTTAAGTTTAATAGTAACAAAACTCAATACAGTATTTACCAATTACACTTTGTAAATTAGACGATCTCCCACCAATTACATTTCAGGATGCTATCATCCTCCCAAATTCTGAAATAAATATGTTAGGCCTCACCATTTCCTCCAATATGTCCTGGAAATCACACATCCTTAGTATAACTAAAGCTGCCTCCCGAAAGTTGGGAATGCTGTACAGATGCCGCAGCAGTTACTCCAAGTATATAAGGGATTCATTCGTCCTAACTTGGAGTACTGCTCTCATATCTGGGGTGGCTCTTCTTCTGTCCAACTACTGTATTAGATAGGGTGGAATCAAAGGCATTTCGTCTTATTAACTCTCCTCCTTTAGTTGATAATCTTTCTTCTCTTTCTCTTCGCCGCAATGTTGCTTCACTCTTTCTCTTTTACAGGTACTTTAACGGGCAATGTTCAGTGGATTTGGCATCCTGTGTACCACCGGCAAGGCCGTGGGTTTGTAACACATGTCTTGCCCGCGGTGCCCACCTTTTCTCTGTGGATGTTGGTCACACGAGAATAACCCGTTATAGTACCTCCTTCTTTCCTCACACAGCCAAACTGTGGAATGCTCTGCCTTCTTCTGTGTTTCCATGCTCTTACAATCTGTCTCACTTTTAAAAGCTGGTTTTCCGACATCTTCGTGGTGTAGATTAATACAGTATAACCTTTTTTGCTATATTTTCAATTTCTTTCCGTTCTTTTTTTTTTTCGCCCCCAGGCTCCGTTGTGGGTCGTTTGACCTGTGCCCGGGTGGGCTAATTCCCGTAACAAAAAAAATCGGCCACGGGTCTGTTGTCAATAATTACCATCCCATGAAATAGCCCTTTGTTATCATTTAGCAAACGGGGTATTTTACAATCTACCATTAAGGGTAATCTTGTATTTAATGAGTAAGACTTGGAATTTAACAAAGTAGCAGATACAGAGTACTGCCATAATATGCAATTTATCTTTCATAGACTGAACCACACTAACCAACCTAACCTAACCCAGATATTATACAGTACTGTATTTATGTTTAGGTGAAACTTAAGTTTGAGTAGGTTAGGTTAGAATAGGTAGTTTGGTTTGGTTAATTTAGGGACAACAAAGAATTCTGTACAGGAATAGTAGCTACCGTATCTTGTTTGGAAAGTTTCCAGTTTTGTTGAATGTCAACAATGGAGCTCTTGATTTTGTGCGTATGAAGTAAATGTAGTGGATATCGGTATGGCAGCCATACGCCACAACTCAAAGTGGATAATGGTACAGAAGCCGTATTGACTGACTGTGTTGATGGTTAGGTTACGTTAGATTAGGTTAGGTTTGGTAAGTCAGAAAAGGCCATATTGGTAACTATCATTGTGCAGTCTGTTGCACCACCTATGTGCATTAGGCTGCTGTACCAATAGACATCGACGTTTCGCATATGGCTGCCGTACCTATATCCTGTGCCTTAAAGAAAATACAAAGATCATCAATATTAGGATATACAGTACAGGGGGTATTACCTCTTTAGTAATCAATATTTCTATTCCACAAAAATGGGCTTGTACTGTACATCTAACTGGAATTTTTATTTGAAAATTTGGGTGAATTTACATTACAGTATATCTACGGCTTGTCTTGAAAATAGTTGGTTGACATAAAATATAGTACAGGTACAGTATATAAATCCTTTGTATCCTAGAATATTGATAAGGTAATGCCTGTAGTTAGGGTTTCCAGATACTTAATGAAAAAATGCTATAGAAGATAACTTATTTTGTTTCTCAAGAAGCAAATAGGGTGGAGGGAAAACACTTTTCCTATTCTAGTTTTTCCCCAATTTTCTCGTAAAGAAGCTGCCACCTGCCCACCTCATTACAATGCCATCTTTTTTGTTGTGCTTCGGTTAGTTGTGAACAGGAGCATGAGGCGTTAAAATTTTTCATAGGCATAAAAACGCTAATCCGTTTCATAGTCATTAAGAAACAACAGCAGGGGCAAACACTACAGAAAATTTTGTAATAGTTAACAATAAAGGTTTGGGTTAACCAGCTTCCTAATGAAAACCTCAAGGAAAAGCCAAATCAGGTGGAGGAATTGCTTTTTCTTACATTGATTTTTATCATAGTTTTCCTGTAAATAAAGACTGCCTGTCACATACTTGATGACACCATGCCTTCATATGTTGACACTCTTTCTAGCAACCAACCCTGAATACTATGGGATAAAACATTTCCCAGCCAGCGACCTATCTTTCTTTCCGTACTAACTTACCAAACCTAACATAACCTAACCAACCTAACATAAAATAATTTTACTGTACTGGGTGCTTCCATTCTGATATAGGTAGGTTTTGTTGGTTCACCTTGTCTAGTGTGTATGATAAATCTTGATGTAATACTGTAATAACATTCCCTAGAACAATTTTTGTGTACTTTATGGAAAAGATGATGATGACACTGCCATACTAACAATGTTACTCTGTTATGATAATTACAAATTATTCTAATAATGTAGGGAAGAATTATGTATATATCATCATTGTCTAAGCACAAAATATTTTAAGTTCTTTCTTAGTGGTATGAAATGGAATTTTTTTTACTAATGTCTATGAAATATTTAGACTTCCTCTGCTTGCATGTACAGGAATTTTTTTTTGCGGATTTTTTTTGTGATGTTCATCTATAGTAATATTTATTGTTCTTCCTCTTAGATAAGGTCTTATAATATATATCATCCAATAATGTTACTTTAAATCAAATACACTATAAGTTATTGCTAAGGAATTACAGGAACTTCACTTCATCTCATAATGTGAAATTACTAACAGTAACTCATTTCCTATGCTGAAAGTGATTTCTTATGTGGATAATACAATGTAGTGTGTACAGTAATGATGTAATAGTGTCTGTTTTTCTTTAAGGTCTTCTATATATTTCTGATCATTTCTCTATTTTAACTATACTACTGTATACTGTACTGTATATACCGGTACATGATATACAGTACAGGTAACACATTGCTTCACAGAAGTCTGGCCCTGAAAACTTATATCATTGTTCTTGTGTGCTTCTACATTTAGTATTGATTGTTTCTATTTACGTATTCCCATAGGAGAACATATTTTTATGCATATTCATTTATTCATACTGTATATACCATACAGTATACTGTACCATATTTTAACAAATATAAGCCACACTTTTTTCTTTCCTAAAAAAAATGACAAAAGGGGGGGGGGGGAGGTTGTGGCTTACTATCAGATACAAATTTTAGTACAGTGCCTGTAATGCCTCAAAAATACATGTAAATATTACTGTACCGTAATTCCCTGTGTGTTCTAGTACCACCTCTAGCAAGTCCCCTCCACCATTACACATCACCCTAAGTCAAAATTGCCATCAGTACTACCATTGCTATCATCACTCTGCATGTTGTCTACTCGTGAATTTGTTTACAAGAATGAAGGTTAGGGAACCATACCTATTGTGTCTGAAACCCTCAAAGTAGTAATAATACATTAAATTATATACAGTCAACCCTCACTTTACGCGGTTAATGTAACCCACAGGGTGCCGCGGAAAGTAAGGAACGCGTAAAGTGAATAACATAACATATGGGATTAATTGAAGTAGAGTCCGGGCCGACCCCCAAACTCCACTTTTTGACGACACACAACTATGTTGTAGTAAAAATATTATCTTAACTTGATGATGGTATGCACAAACAATTGATAATTAAGAGAAATATCAATAATATTAGGTTTTCTAACACTTACATTAGTAGAAAAGATGGCTGGGCACACGGGGATGGGCGGTTGGTTCCGAGGCAGAGGGCAGATTATTGGCCCTCACCTGCATCACTTGTATCAATTGTATCACTATCCACCATAGAGGCTTGCAGGGCTTTTTTGTCAAACCCCTCAAAGTCCATATAAGTCCATATCTTCACTATAATTATCACTATCACTGACTTGGGCCGGCTGTGGTGGGTGGCGGGTGAAGAACTCGGTAATGTTTTGACGACTGGGCGACCTTGTGTGCACCATGCTCGCGCAGCTTACACAACATGGCGGATGGCGGGAGAGATGGCGGGAGGTTTGAATCCAAAAATGGCGCGGTTCGCCAGCCGCTCTCCGAGTAAAGGGGTACACGAACCGCGGAATGTGAGCATTCCTGTTTCGGCAGGGTACCGCGTAAACGTGGAAACGCGGAATGTGGGACCGCGTAAAGCGAGGGTTGACTACTGATATTATCTTGACCATAATTGCTTATTATTTTTTCATAATTAAACTAAATAATTATTTGTATGGTAGATTTAGGAGCGTAATTATGTAAGTCTCTTTATATTTGTACCTGCGCCAGTGTTGGTCAAGTCTGGTCTTGAATGAGTTCACACTCGGTCCTGTCACATAGCAGTTAATATTCTAAGATCATAATACTGTATTATGTAATTGGAACATGGCAGCAATAGAAAGGGATGTTGACATTCCACATACAGTACATTAAAATTAATAATACCAGTACATTATCAAGCCACTATGAAGAATAAATTCTTTAGGGTGTATGTGTGTGGCAAGAAAGGTATGCAATCTGTTAACGGTAATATACACTTTTGTTCTATGGTAATTTGATGATATTCAGATATAGCATACATATTGCTAATTTGTGATATCAGATTTTTTTGTCTAACAGTATACAGGGTACTGTATTTCAAAAGTACAGTATATATCTAAAGAGCACTTGACATACCTCGTAGAACAGTTTTGTTATACTGTAATGCTCTTTGTTCTGGAGGATTCTTTTACAGGATTGGTTGATTTAAATCAAATTATTTTTTAAATCACTGATTTAAATCAGAGCAATACACAGTATGTACTCATCTTTTATTGCTAATGTGATAAACTTATGTGTGTATTTGTGTTGCAGATACTTCATGGAAGGAAGGAATTAGAAATGACTGCATTCGCAGTTTAAGTGCTTGCTTACTGGTTGTACCTAGAATTGTCACAATAATTACTGTGGTCTGGAAATACCCAGTATATATTGTGCCTTGTGTATAGCAATGTGCTAAGAATTCATGATCATATAACGGACAAGACATTTTGTGGCTAAAATTATTTTGTGAATTTAAAAGGTGAGCTCATGGTGAACAATTTGGCCAGACAAAAACTCTGTTTCTCATTTGCCCATTGCCATTGACACCAGGCCTGGTTTAAAGGAGCTAATGTTGAATCGATTCAAGACTGCCCTGTATAATGTGGTTGGGAGCTTTGACCCTGGTGATGGCACCCTTGGGGGACTGGGTCCAGGAGTAACAAATAACCTGCCAACCGCTCCTGGGGTTGTGAGGACTGGAGTTTTAAGTAGCAGCTCAAAAGAAAAGGTGAGTTTCATACTTGAATCATTTTGGTATGTATTTTTGCAGTGTTATACTCAGTTCTCTTTAATAAGTAATTAGAAGTTCCTGTTGAAGTTTGTGAAAAAAAATTCTTGTATATGAATAAAGTAGCTATTGTAACTGGAGTGCTAAATTTTGATCAAGAATAAAAAGTTCAGCTAGCAGTTAGTGTGGAAGATAAGCATATTGAGGGGATCTGAAGTGAAATATTTTAAAGTGTAGTAATGAGTGTGTAATTCAGAGATGGGTGGTACCTTAGGAGCTGGAGGAGACAACCAAAAAGATTAAAGGATGGGGTACAGGAGCAATAGAAGTGAGGCGATGGTCATCCTGGAAGCAGCAGTGTGTGTGAATGAGGAAAGGGTATGATGCTGGCATGTGTGGAGAATAGGTAAACCAAATTTTTGGTCTAGTTGAAGAAGAGAATATTGTTTCAAAATACATCATCTTTTATAGTAGTAAGGACAAATGAATGACAACAGGCAAGAAGGGAAAATATGTGAATGCATTTGCTCTTTATTTCCAGCCACCCTCCATTAAATGAAAAAAGGCTAAGGAAAAATGGTAAAGATATTAACACACACACACACCTATCCACCTACATCCTCCATACCTCCAATCTAATCTTGTGTCAGTGGAGGTGACCTCAGTGTCCCGTGTGGCCTTGTCTCTAGTTACCTCACAAGTAGAACCACTCAGCTTGGTGGTTCCTTTGAAATGTTGATATTCATTGACTTTAACTAAGAGGCTTAACGTATTAACTAAGTAGATTACTTGCTCCAGATTGATAGGTCACTAATCTTGGTAAACTGATGACAACTCAGGAATGTGTGATGTTTTTGTATTAGATATATTCTGTAATGGGAATAGACAAATGTAGTCATGAAAGTATTCATGATTATACAATACTATATTTACAAAGTAAACGAGTATGATTAGTTACGATTACAATTACCTGGACTTGCGTAATCAATTGGAATTAGATTACCCCATGTCTCTCTCTGACACACACAGTAATTTCATAGCAGTAAGAATGAATAAATGGTATTATAATGAATAGAAAATGTGTGTTTATTTGCTTGTTTTATGGCCACCTAGAATTAAGCAGGGGAAGTCTTATAAAAGTTTGTGTGCCTCCTTTAATAACAATTTAGAAAGGGGGTCTATGTCTATGGTATCATCTGCTTTTATATTACCGAATACAGTAATTCAGGATATGGTGTGTTGGGATACTCCGTTTACGTTTGGTTATTCTGTACTGGGATTATTGCTTAGAGGAGAAAAAATCTAGGCTTTCATTTGATTGGAATTTTGATGGTTAGGTTACCTTGGAACTAGGAGGAGTTGGTAAATTTCCTTTAAGGAGGTTCATTGGTGGTAGGGCAAAGTTTCCTTCTTCAAGTCAGAAGGGCTAGGTTAGGCTTAACTAGGCTCTGAATGCTTAACACTCTTGGGTTTAGAAAGGTGCTCTCCAGTGAGACACTCAGGGTCTGGTGACCTGGCTGGTCACTAACCTCACCACACTTGACTGCACCACATGAGTCATAGCAAGCTTACTATAAACAGTTTTATATGAGTACTAATCACCATAAAATAATTTTTTCTATACGTAAGAGCGAGTAGAACACAAAATTTTTGTTTACCCTTAATGAAAATGTTTATGCATCACTTTATACCTTCGTTATTTCATATTATAACAATAATAACCTTATTCCATTATAAAGTGTACATGTTTAGTAAAAAATAGTGATAGAAGAAAAGTTGTGAAAAAATCAATATTTCTTGAGGTAATAGTGGTGTACATTGTGCATTCTGATGATCACTGTTTGTTGACGGGCCAGACAAATTATCACTTGCACTAGAAGGGTCAGGGACACTGGGAGAGGCCTCAGGAGGCACCACACTATCACAATGTGGTGCAGTCTCCTTGCACTTTTTATGTTTTCCCACCCCTTCACCTTCACCAGTAACATGAGGCATGGTTCAAAACTATCACAACACTGTTATCAATAAGTGCAATCACTGTGATGAATGAGAAATCAGCAGAAGCTATGAGAAAATGGTGGGAAATGTGGGTCAAAGTTATGTCCTGTGCTGTTGAACCACAAAGGGCGACTGGTGTGGTCACTCACATAACCTTGGAGGCAGTCTACATAGGTGCCAGATCACATTGACATTGCCAAAGGTGTGTCTGGCCTATCTAACATTCATACGCAAACATAAAATAATTTTATTATAATTTTTTAGTTCATACCCAAATTTGCGTATGAAAACCCAAAAGCGGTAATTTAGATCACATGCAAGTTTGCATATGAAAACCCCAAGAGTGTTAAGATAGGGATACCGTTGTTCATTTTTTGTGGGCGTTTGATTACCCTTGAAGTGTTGATAGACTACAGCATCTTTTACAAAGTTCTGTGGGAGTCTTTACAAGGTGAATATTGAAGTAGAAGAATGAACCAAACTTTGGAGGAAATGTTCCACCAACAGAACTGAATGAAGGGGTAGTAACATACAATACTTTGTTATAATCGTCCTTCATCATATTTTGAAAGGGACTTTTCATTTCATTTTTCTCTCTCTGATATGGGAATTTGTGGCTGTGAGAAACATGTTTTAAGTGTCATATATTGTTAACGCCCATAGGAGCGTTATTGGTTTGTTGCTGGAGAAATAAACCCTCAACGTTGACGCGTACCATATAATTCGGTCAAAACCTGTTAAAGAACAATTCACATATAACAAATGCTGTTATCTTAGGACACATAGAATGAATAATACAATCAATATACAGTACATAGCCTGTTAACATCTTAAGTATAACTCACATGTTACATCTGTTGATTCATCAGGAGACAAGTTGTATAATATGATCAAATTACAGTACTGTATACCTAAATATACTTATTAAAGTTATTTAGAGTTTATATTTACGTTTTAGGGTCTTGGGTTCGACCAGCGTGTTGTTTCTTCTGCGAGAATTGGTAGACTACTGAGCAATCGCCATCCAATTGCAGCCCTAGGCGAGGGCCATCTGTTTTCTATTAGACACGACCAACAAACATGTTGTCAGCACTGCCCCCCCCCTTCTCACCCTCTCTCTTTCTCTCTCTCTCTCTTATGTTTATCTTACTGTGGCGGTAACATATATAATTGGGATCTAATTGTTTTCCATTGTAGGTAATTTTTAGATAAATGTTTTATGCTGTTAAATACCGAGCTTTCATATTTTATTACACCAAAAATTTAGCTGGAATTAACAGTTAAGGTAATTTATATATCTTAAGATAAATGATTTGTCTAAGGATAAGATACTACATTACAGTTAAAAAATTAATGGTCACTCTCTTTATGTTATTCATTCTATGGGAGTTAATCCTAGGGAGATTTTGTACCTTTTTTAAATTATGACCACAATACAGTACAGTATTAGGAACTTATATATTTCAGCCTTTATCTTAAATAATATACTTCGTCATAAGGAAGCTTTTGCTGTTTCGTGAGTTCCGGTAAATAATTTTTTAAACCTAGCAGGGATTGTTTTCTTCTGTTGCTGAAAACTTTGTGTGAATCCTCTCTGATACTTTCCATCAATTTGTAACAGAATGGTCAAATATAATATTCTGTTACCTTTTTTAGTGTTATTGAAATTGCATAGCTGAACTTTACAAAATCACTTAATGAAATTAATGGATGTAGGTTAGTTTTAGGTTTTGTGCTACTCCAACTTTAATTATTGCAAAATAGACCTTATGGGTTCCCTTTTCTGGTGTATGCATGGGTGGGTGTGTATGTGTTTTTTATTTTACAGTTCAGTATTTATGTTTTACTAACTGGTAAGGTATTTTTCAATTCATAACTTGAGAGAGAATTTTACCTGATTCATTTGTTAAGGGACATGCTGTCCATCGATATTTGGGCTGTAGATAGTGCTTAATCCTTGGTGCTTTTGTAATACAGTCTATTATTTAGCTGGGTGTTGAATTCAGAATTGCCAGTCTTTAAGAGTCTGTGTATGAAATAAAAGATTACTCTTAAAATCCTGCTTTCTAGTAGGACCTATAGACAGGTGGAGCTGGATACCCATCCTTCTATGGGTAAGCGACCTAGTCAGCTGGAACTGAGTGTGTAGCATGCTGGTTGGGCAGATTTGGCTCAATTAGAAATTTTGCCTTTGGAAAATAATTTTTTCACAACATCCTTCCCATTTTGGCAGGATGGTGTGATGGGAAGGGCAATTGTTGTACCCAAAAATTTATAATAGATAAATCCCTGGCAAGAATAGGATGGTCTAAAATGAAACAAGTCTGCTAGAAAATGGGTTTTCAGGATCAATCCCTCATTTAGCCATGTAAAATATTAATCTCTCTATTGTTTGAGGAACAGACCTTCTTTTAGTTGCATATTCAGGACAGTATTGTATGATTGCAGAATCTTCGATTCCCATACACACGACCCCACTTCTTGCAACTTGGCTCAGAAGATGAGATTCAGGTGACTGCTGACCATGCCATCAGACCAATTATATGCCCTCGTGACATATCCAGGTTACCATGGAAAAGTGGATATGCAGAGTAAGTACAGATATTCAAAAGTTCCTTGTTGTAGATCTGTGTCAGTTTACCCTGATTTCCCAGGGCATGTGAGGTACAGTCACCCACAAAAGTCTTGTCCCTTCTTTTCCTGAACTACAAACCCCTAGATTCAGACTCCTGAATTCAAAGCATCTATGGATGAACTAATGCATCAGTGTCTACTGCTTTGGGTTCACAAGTCTGAATCTTGGGTTTTGTGGTCTAGGAGGAGAGGTAACAGGACTTTGTGGGTGACTATACATAACAAATGAATGATTAGTGAGAAAGATTTATGACACTATGATTGGAGGAAAAAAAGAAGAAAACAAAAAAGACTTAGAAAGGTAGTATATGCACTAAAAAAAATTGTAGGTGAATTAATGAGGTCCAGGGTTATCACACTAATAAGGCTAGAGGAATGACTTTTGCTTGTGCAGAGTTGCTTATGGGAAATTGAAAAATTGCATTAGCTTGGACTAGACAAGGGACTGGAAGAATTATATGGTTGGAATAGTCAGAACATCTATCTTGCTCTTGTAATGTTCTGAGCACTGCAATTTACCCTTAGAGAATTAAAATAAACATATTTTAAGCTAATCCAACCTGATTTTTCCATTGTCCCATTCATATTAATTTGAAGTAATGAATAACAAAGACAGCCATGTTTTTGAAGAATGCAATGTTATTATCTTATACAGAATTACCTTATTTTTAGAACCATCAATGCAGGAAAGTCAAAACGAAATGAAGACCAAGCCATCGTCCATGTTGGCCTTCTCACGCGTCCTATTAAACAGGGTGCATCCAACTCCAAATCTTCTTCATTGTCACAAGAAAAGAATTCCTCTGTTAAATCTGAATTGCTAATAAATGGTCATGGTGATGAAACAGAACAGATACGAACAGAAGTGCAAGAACATACTGTCATATTATCACCTCAGGGATCAACACTCTCCGCTAGTCCTGCAACAGAATTGAAAGAGGATTATAATCATCCCAACAGCAGTTTGCAAGATGACAGCAGCAGTAATGGGCTTAGCAAAATACAAATTGAACAAGGTGACACAGTTCATCACCCATTAGCAGACACCACTCCTAGTCAATCATCCAAGTCACTGTCAAGACAACCGTCCACTCCCCAGCAACCATCAACTTCATCAATATCTCTTCCCTATTACCTTTTTGGTGTGTTTGATGGACATGCTGGTTGGGGAGCAGCTGTAGCAGCAGCAAACCAACTTCATCACATTATCCATGTGAGTTTTAACTTCATCAGTATATCTTGGTATGAATGGAACCAATTGAGTAGGTGTTACCTGAGGTACAGTCGCCCACATGTATTCATATACACGTTAAGGTTACTATGCTCTAATTAGTGTGGTAACACTGCTCAACCGCATGTCGAGGCATACGATAAAGCTCAACTCTACCCCCCTATGCCTCTACCACCCTTCCTCCTAACTGAAGGCTTGACATTGTATTTCTTTCGCCCCACTATCTGTTTCTTCCTTATGATCATCCAGCAGTTGATGGCCAGCAAATCAAAATGATGACAAGGACCCCACTGTGTCTTTACAGTCCTCTGCCATTTATGTTGTTTTGGTGGTTGAAGATTGATGACCACACTGGGCATGTCATTGAAAGATATTGGTATGCTGTTATAAGTTGTGATAGTGCATTAATATGCCACCTACATTTCACCATCCATGGTTTCCCTGCCCCTTCACTGCCTTTCCTCCCACCCTGTTTCACAGTCTACTTATTCACCCAATCCTGCCTCTCTCCCTAATGTTTTCCAGCCAAACTTCTCTCCCTCTTACAAACATTACATACTGAGTTCAATTTACTTTCAGAACTGTATTCTGCTTCAGCTCTTCATAGGAGCCTTATTATACTGCATGGCCCTAAATGTAATTGTAACATGAAACATTATTACAAATTATGAACTAACTACTGTACTGTATATACAGTACTTGTGGCTGACTTGGGGCAGTACGTTCGGCCGCTACATGCTGCCTTGGTTAAGCCTGCTCACGGGTTCTGTAATTACCCCACCATGATGGGGTAATTATTAGGTGGTTTCCCCATGCACCTACACCTCGCTCTTGCCCCTAAAAGGCATGGAAGTGTCTTGAAGTTCTAGAAGCTACCAAACTGAATCTGTTTTAGACAATAAACAACAATCATAATCACCATCATTTTATAATTATACTGTAATAGTACTTAATAAAATATTAATACAGGGGGTCCCTCAAACTCACGGGGGTTAGGTTCTCAAATAGCCAAATCCGCGAATAACATTTGCTGACCGGGGCTACATTTTTACTTGTGTACAAAGAAATGTATATATACACGGGTACTACGAATATTCCTATAACGAACGGTTTTACCTATAAAATTGAGAATGCTATAACGAACGAAACTCCTACAACTAACATTATTTAATTTTTTTTTCTTCTATTTATTGTTTTTTATTACAAATATTAATGATATTCTTTATTTCAGGGGTTTTGATGCATATTTATGCACTTTTTTACAATTTTTACAATTTTATATTATATTTTTCAGTGTTAAGTGGTTGTATTTGGGGGCCTGGAACGGATTAATCCTATAACGAATGAATGCTATAACGAACAAGGTTCTAGAACCAATTAGATTCGTTATAGCATACCCCACTGTACAGGTATTCCCTTTATGTTGTTTCCCCTTAGGACAATTATTTCTTTTACCTGTATTGGTATTGTATATATGTGTGTGTGTGTGTGTAGACACGCACACACACACACACTTCTCACTGTCTTGTCAGCTTTCGATACATATACCGCCATCTCGAGAAACGAAAACGTCTGTAGCTGTCATTGATTTCACTAAAGCGTTCGACCTAGTCGACCACAATATAATCATAAACAAAGCTATTGACCTCGGGCTTCGGAGAAGTCTCATACCATGGCTTACAGACTTCCTCAGTGACCGACGCCAAGCTGTACGCTTCCGAGGGGCTGTCTCCACCTTTCAGTCACTCACCTGTGGCGTCCCCCAAGGCACCAAGATGGGACCACTCTGCTTCCTTATGCTCATCAATGATGCCCTAAGAGAAGCCCCTGCTCGCTGGAAATATGTCGACGACTCCACCATTGGGATCAGCGTCAACAATTCCGCTCCCAACTATACCGCCCTTCAGGATTTATTGAACAGTCTCCAAAACTGGGCCACCAACAACCATGTCACCATCAACCATACCAAGACAATGGTTATGCACATCAACCTCTCCTCCGACATTGTCCCACCTCCTTCCATTACCCTAGGTCCGAACACACTCCAGGTTGTAGATTCCACGAAGCTCCTCGGCGTCACCATAGACAACAAACTAAATTGGAAACCACACGTCAGTGAAGTTGTCAAATCCTCCAGTTTCCGTCTCCACCTCCTCCGCCGACTCAAGTCCCTCGGAGTTCCTGCACCCGAGCTCCTCAGTGTTTACACAACATTCATACTTCCCAAGCTCACCTATGCCTCCCCCACCTGGTCTTCCTCCCTAAATGCCACACAACGTAAACACCTAGAAAAAGTGCAAAAGAGGGCATGCAAAATTATTCTCTCCCCTTCCTACTCCACATATCAAGAAGCGCTCAACACACTGACCCTTTCGACTCTCACTGACCATCACCACGACCTCATCTGCAAATTTGGTAAGAAGCTTCTACACCATCCTCGACACCGGCCCCTACTACCACCTGAGATCCCCTGTCCGAGAATTGCTGTTCGACACCACAACCGCATCCAGCCCATACGTGCACGAACTGATCGCTATAAGAACAGCCCAGTCCCAACCATTGTAAAAATTATCAATAACATGTAATAAATCAGTGTATTCACTCCCAGTAAACACTGCTCCCTACACTGTCACTATGTTGAAATGAACTGTATTTTGAGCTGATCCCCATCTAAGTTACTATATGTCTTATTTGTGTCACTTATGTCACTTGTATATTATTTGTAATTCGTAACCCATTCCCCAAATATGTAACTGTATATTTTCAGCCTTCTGGCTGCCAAGCTCTTTCAATAAACCGTTATTATTATTATTATTACACACACACACACAAAATGCATACAAATAGATAATAATGGGAAAATTCTCTCACCAATAGTCAGAAACAAATTTAATAAAAAATGTGAATCTACCCTCAAGTCCATGCTGTATTACTTATTAATAAAGCATGGACTTGAGGGTAGACTGTCACATTTTAAATAAATTTGTTTCTGGGTATTTGCTAGAGAATTTTCTCAATATTATTTATTTGCATGTGTTTTATGTGTGTGTGTGTGTGTCTACATACACACACATAATTTGATTCACATGAGAACCATAGGTGTGTATGAATACCTGTGGTTCTTAGTTTCCTTTTTTTACTCCTATCTTGTTTTTTGCTTTTTTGTTTTGTATTTAAATCTTAGGAAAATGTGTATGAGAAAAATTTTAGGATGAAAGGATATCTTTGTTTTAAAGTCAAGAAGATTGTTGAAATATTGATAGTAGATTGTAGTATTGTACCATATAATGAAAGAATTTACTAGTTGTTAGTCGGGCATTAATCTCAAGTAAAAATTATGAATGCCCTTGTTCTGAGGTTGAAATAAGCAATATCTCATAGCAATTTGCAATGGACTGCATTGTTAGGGTGTCATACGGAGGCGATTTTTTTTTTTTTTTTGAGTTTGAAAAATCGGCCCATGGTATTAATGATGTAGTTCTATGTGCAGAATCATGTGATATCTTCAGATTTGAAAAGTTTTCATTTTTGCTAGGTAAATTTTAACTTGAAATCTTATGAAAATTCAGTATTCCCACCCTTTTACCAACACCACTAAATAGCTTATTTAAAGTAAAGTAAATGTATCAGGTTAATTTATTAGGATGAAAATGATCCAGAATAGTGAAACGAATGATCTTGACACATTTATTAAATTTAATATTCCTTTAGAAAACAAAATCATCAAATACAAAAACCGGTTTTACTACTACGACTGCACGACCCGGTGTTGCTGCACACCATAGAGAACATGTCTTTCTTGCTTCTGTTTCTACTCATCACCTCCCTGCTGACCACCTGAGCTCGGATGTAGCCTTCCCTCCTCTCCTGGCTGTACACGTGACTGCTGGCCTCGCTCACTTGCTGTACACAACGCTCTATACTCTGGGTGTGCGAGGGCCAGGCAGGGACATGCATGGGGTTGTCCAGGAAAGCTTTGACTTGAACATTGGTGAGGCTGCAGGTAAGAGGCTCACTGCCAGCCTGATGTTATCCAGATCTATGAGATCAGTGAGGGTCTTGGCACTAGATTGACTTCAGGAGTCTTCCTGACCCTGAAGGAATCGGCTACCAACTGATTCGGCCATGCCCAGATCCTCTCATAAGTCTCATATCCAAGATCTTTTGACTGCCACTTTTCTCTCCTCCTCATCCTACTGCAGAGCATTGCTCCGCAGAACTGCCTCGGGATGAGCACAGGAAGATCTCTCACAGTCTGCTCCACAATCTGAACAACCTTCCTGGCTGACTCTCAGGAGCTCAAGCTGGAAGAGAACATGCTCGACCTTCTCGGAGAACGTATGACTTGACCTTGGTGTTGAACCACCAGCAAGTAGACACTCAATGCATGAATTGGACAATAAGTCTCAGGTTGTGAAGCTGGTTCCCTTCAGTTTATGATGAGCCGCACCCAAATTCTGCAGAACCTGAGAGCCGTTGTGAGCCACCTAGAATGTGAGACTGAACCTATCTGCAGGTAAGCAAGTCTATCAGGCATGACCCCAGTTTTGATGGCACTGCAAATCATGTAACCATAGTACTGGTCAGTACTCAGGTCGTCAATGACAGTATGTGCAAGCTCAACGAGTGGAGGGCCAACTGTGATTTTTCAAAGCTCGGATTTATTTCTAACTCAGTGGCAGAGTCCAGCATCTTGCCAAGAGGACCAGACCATCTGTTGTTTGAAAGAGTCTTGCCATCCAGCTCCTGGATCAGATGTCTGAGTGGCAACTCGTTGGTGTGGAGGTCACAAACAATCCAGACCAGCTTCCTCCCAATCTTCCGCCCTATCCACTGTATGACCCCCCTTGCCACCCTGTGTTCGTGTTGGTGCTGTCCCCTCCAATGGCCTGCAGGGTCTGGTCTACGTTCCTCTCTCTGAGCCAGTTCACAATGTTATCTGCCACTATCTCAGCTGGTTTCCTGATGTCATCTTTTTCTGG